TAACAGACACTTTGGAATGCGTGGCAAGAGTACTTGGAGACGCAAGACGGTTGATGTGGTCATTGTGACCAAAAGTTTGCCAAAGGATCAAGTTGCTTGGATATGCCCTTTTTGCCGTGATACACTTCCTGAGTTAAGCAAATGGCAAAAGTTTAAATCGGTGCGTCATCATTACGACACCAAGCACAAGAAACGCAAGATGAACCGCAAGTCCATTTTGGTGGCTCGTGGTAAGCTATACAGGAAAGACGAAGATTGTCATCCTTCAATCAAAGAAGGACAAATCGCTTTGCGACAGAGGAATTTCCTCAACGCCGATAAGCGTGCAAAAGCAAATGATGTGAAGAATGGGCATAATGCTGTCTGGATCAAGCCCGACTGGTCCAAATGGGCCGGCAAAGCCAGTTCAAAAAACCAACGGCCAGACTTGCAGTTTGCACCAAATGTTGGGGTTGGGCCTCCGGGTAAACCTTACTCACCTTTTTTTTTCTCCCGCACATGGTGGAGAAAAATGCGCGGTGAAGACAATCCCAATGTTGAGCTGTTTCTCAAAGCGTGGAACACAAAACTGGAAGTCGCTGACAAGCATTTTGTGTATGTTTTCACGAGTTGACAAGCTAGTGCCAAGAACTGCACAAAAGCTTACAAGACCTCACATGAATGGGTCTGTGACCTGTGTCAACATGGCGAAATTCATCCTCACCCAGGACCTAGACGCAAAAAAGCTTCAGTGGTTCATGCCAGCGTGATGTGTCTTAATGTTCAATCAGCCAAAAATGCTTGGAAAATTCTCGAAGATTCCGATCCCTCACATATACCAATTTCCACTTTGCAAGAGATTCGCATGACCGATAAAGAAATCGATGCTTTTCGTAAATCTGCCTTTCAGCATGGGTATTTTCTTTATTGCAGTCCCGGCACAGACTCCACCGGGAGGTGGAATTCGCCTATTCGCCTATGATGAATGGGGGTGTGGCCACACTCATTTCTCGTTATATTCCGCACAACATGCTTTGCAGCAAATGCTTTGATGAGGGTCAGTATATTATCACCAAGGTTGCCGATACGTTGCTTTGCAATGTTTATATCAGACCTAATGTGACCGCCGATGACCTTTTTGAATGCCTCCTACTAGGTACTAGGGTTAAGTCCTTGCATCGTGTGTTAAGTCGTAGCGGATGAGCGTCTGCCTTGCGGAAAGGCATATTGGGGAGCATCATAGCATAACATATTGGATAAGCTATGTATGTTGTTTCTATGCTTAGATGTGTGTCTGCCATGCGTTTTTTTTTTTGCAACATGTATGTTTGTGAGGATTGGTAAGGTTCAAATATGATAGAATAGCATGAAATAGTATGTAAAGTGATATATTCTGGTGTATCACGTTTAAACATTTTGGGTTAGTCATGTATGTTGTCTTTGCTCTTGGATGAGTGTGTGCCATGCGGTGCTCTTTTTTTTCGAGGTTCTTTGTCTACCAGCATTGGCCAGGATTCAAACATGAAAGGGTAGTATACACTATGTAAACTGATATATTTCATGGTATCATTTTATCACCATTTGGGTTAGTTCTGTATTTGTTTTTTTCGTTAGCAGACCTAGATCCTAGGGCGTTGGCAGCACTGCAACTGTTAGCTGAAGCCGAAAATCTTCCAGCTCCAGGATTTGGGTAAGGGTCTGTCCCGGGTAGTTTTTGACCTCGTTTGGTACCTCGTTCGGACCTCGTTCTGACCTCGTTCGTGACCAGCCTTCGTTTGGTCTTTTTTTAGTATGTTTAGCCTACTTGACATGCAAAGCAGATCTAAAACTGCTTGTAAACACATCCTGGCTGCGAAAACCAACTTTAATCTGACCATGGTTCCTGCGCTCGCGTTTCCATGGTGTTTGGCATCGCAATTGCCGTTCCTAGACATCTTCAAATCATGTCTGTGACATTGGGTTTTCACTTATGAACTGTACCCAACATATCCATCGTCAACGCGCGTTTCCATTGTAACTTGTACACAAAACATATGTGCAAAACATGCCCTGGACATATACCTTTCACCGTCAGGCCATGCTAAACAGAACAACAAGGATCCTAAAACCCATTGCATTCCGTACGCGTTTCCATGGTGAAACCATAAAAATGCTATGACTTAAACGGAGCTGCTATGACTTAAAACGTTCGCAGCGTTTCCATGCGAAAACAAGCCCCCTGCAATGACTTAAAACGAAATGCTATGACTTAACCCTTCCACTTGTAGCTGATATGCTCGAATATCCTAGTGCCAAATTCCTTTGCCTTGGTGATTGGAATCTCACGCCTGAAGAAAACGAATTTCTTCCTAATGTTTCCCCGCTAAATGGATGGTGTTTGAATGTACTCGATTCACAGCATAATCCGATGCCCACGCGGTGGAAAGGCAACCGATGCATCGATTATGTTTTAACCAATCTTGAACGCCATAATGTTGATATCCAATTCGCACTGAAGAAATTTGGTGACCATATCCCAATTTTTTTGTCTTACGCTTTTGGTAATTCTACCCCTGGCAATGACTCTCATGGTCCTCTTAAACGTGTTAACCATTATGTTAAACCTGCAAATGTGGAGGACAATGCATGGACTCAAGCTGTTTCTCTATCCTGGAAGCTGAGACATTACCAGGTGACGGAATACTATAATCATGACCAACATAGTGTAGACGAATATTGGTCCTCCCTCAGTGAGGCTTTCGAAGATACACTGCAATGTGCTCGGATTCTTTGCCAGCCTGAGGATTTGCAGCTACCGACACACATGACTGCCGGGGTTCGTGCCAAGAACTCTCGTGTTGCAATTTCAAAAAAGCCAGTTTACAAAACCAGCAGATCTCCTGCCCATACTAAAGCACGCCAACTGCGAAATGCCATCGGCCGCATTGTTGAACTTCAACGTATCATTGATGCCGAGGGGTGGAATAATTAGTCAAGCTGATGTTCTTTCTCATATAGTGAATCGCATGTTTCCCTGTGGGGACCTGTCACTTGATGAGTGGAAGCATTCCCTTGTTGAATGGGAAAAAAGCCTTGAAGAGGACAGGCGCAAGAAAGCCATTGATGCGTGGCGGTCGCGTATGAGCAAAGATCAAAGGGCCATGTTCAAGTGGGTTTGCCTTGAAACCAACTCACAGACGTTTAATCTCTTTCACAAGGACAACCGCAAGAAGTTTCTACTAATCTCACTCAAGCCTTCACTATGCTGCGTGATTTTTGGAAAAGCATATGGTACAGACTTGCGCCATGATCTTGATACCATGTGTCAAGAGTGGGACAACGCTACTTTTTCAGTGCATGCTATTGAGAACAGCTGGTCAACCATCACTACTGCTGATTTGACTAAGGTTATACCAAAGCTGTCACACGCATCCGCTGGCCTGGACGGATGGAGTGGAGCCGAGCTTGATGCTTTCAGCATCGAAATGATCCAAGAACTTTCCAGATTTTATCAATTCATGGAAACCTGTGGCACGTGTCCTTCCATGTGGACAAAAATTCGCCAGACGCATATACCTAAATCTAAAGGGTTCAGACCTGAGGACCAAGCATGTGATGTGGCTGCTTTGAGGCCAATCTCCGTCACTAGTGTTTTCTGGAGACTATGGACATCTAGTCGCCTTAAAAAACCTGAAGTAACAGACTGGATCAAAACTTGGACACCCAGGTTCATGCATGCTGGATCCCGCGGCCGCGGTTGCCACACAGCACTTCACGATATTGTCAAGTCTGTTGAAAATCTCGAATACCTTGCTTCACTTAATTTCAGCACTGCTTTTGACCGCACGCACGCTGTTCTTGCAGTTCATGCATTCAGAAAGATGGGTCTGCCTCAGGGCATTGCATCTATTTTGCAAAACATGTGGTGTGCTCAAGATCGCTACTTCCAACTCCTTGGGCATACGCATATTGAACCGGTTAGTGTGAATAACGCTCTTTTGCAAGGTGACCCTTGGAGCATGGTTGCTCTCAACGCTTGCCTACTTGCTCCGTTCATGGATGTTAATACCTTGCCGCAAGCTACTCAATCTTTATATGTAGATGACTCTACCATCACATGTCCTAGTGCTGAAACTTTGCAACAGGCAGTTCGAGCTTGGCAGGTATGGTCAGATAAGCTCGCACTCAAAGAAAATCCCGCCAAACAGCAGACGTGAGTTGTTAGCTATTTGTCCACCTGAGGTCATCACTGAAGCACCGGTGATTCTTGGTGCCACTCTTGCCAGACGACAGGAGAGCAAAGTATCTCCAGAAGAAGCAAGGCGACTTTGCAAGGCCACTGCCACTGCAATGAGATGTAAGTTTCTTCCTATTGACCCCATTCGTAAGCTCCGTTTTGCCACTTGCACTGCAGGCGCTCAGGCTAGATATGGATGGGTCGTCAAACGCCCGCCACTTCAATTTTTTGACAAATTGCACACAATTTTTGCCAGAATTGCTGGGGAACATTTCCATGGGTCGCCGGAACTTCGATTGTTTTTTGCGGTCATCATGCTGATTTGTGGTTTATGACGGGTGCTGAACAAATTGCCGCAGCCTTCCGTGCAGCTAAAGAGTTTGGTACCGCACCTGGAATTCCAATGGTCCCCGTTTTAGATGCCTGAAAACAACTTTTGGATTTAGATTGGAGTATCAACGCTCCATGGTTATTTCAGCACAATGAGCTTGATCTTAAGTTTTCTTTGCACCCAGATCGCCTTGAGTTTCCTCAAGAACAAGGCGCCTTGGAACACATGTTGCGAGAATCCTGGTGATGCCAGCTCTACAACTTATGGCTGGATTCTAACCGTCGTGATGCCAGTTTATGCCAGTCAGTCCCATATAGTTCCAGACGTTGCTCTGCCGCCAGTAAGCATGCTGATTGCATGATGCCCGTAATATAATGTGTGGGGGTTTTGTCGGTCTTATGCGTTTCTTCATCATCTCTAGAGACGATGTACTGAACCTTGACTCTAGACGCCCTGCGAAGCAAAAAGCCGTTACTAATGCCAGACCGAATTGTCCCTTGTGCTCATATTCTGAGGTCCACCTTGAACACTGCCTTTGGTGTTGCCCTGCTCGAGATTGGTATGTTTATCCTTTGCCCAAGCGCCCAACTTGCCCCTTGCAGGCTCGTTTGGCCTGGCCTTCTCATGATAATGATGAATGTGACCTGAGTATTATTCAATTGTTTTGCAAGATAGGATCTCATCTCTTGGAAGTGCGATTGGAGTAAGCAGATGCTCGACAATTTGACCTTTGGTCAATGATGCGGATTTGGACCTATTGGTCCAGCTCAATCGGGTGCAGTCCCCGGCTATGTCGAGACGGACTTCATCCTCACACTCTATCTATCATCCAATCTCCTGCCCGCAATGCTGGTTGAGGTTCTGTCACGTCCTTCAACATTGGTAGTGTTATTGGCACATTGCGCAGCACTTCAGGTTGAATATCTCGGGCATCTTGAAGTGGTACTGCAGCTTGTTGTGGAAGTTGTTGGCCAAGATTTGCAGGTGGACCTCCATCCTTGGTCACTGGCATGCTCCAGTACGGTCCATCCAGCGGCTTCTGATTTCCTCTCAGTTTCTTGACCTCTTCCTCAAGCCATGCCAACTTCTGCTCATTGTCACTCTTCCATTGGTTCCCCACTTGTTGTCCATGAGGAGCCCCTTGCTCTTCTCGTCCATGACCAACTGGTAATCCAGCTGCTCGTCCATGAGGTCCCGCAGGTTGTCCTTGTTCAGGTCCTTTTGGCTTTTCATATTCCAGTCACCCCACACTTCGCCACGCTCCTCTTTCGGCTGCATGGGCGGTTCTGGGGTCCAAAACACTTCACCTCCTCCATGAGCTTGTCCCACTGGAGTTCGGTGCTCTTGTCCTGGGGGTTGTACCTTTTGCCACATACCCCATCGCATCTGCTCTTGTTGAGGCCCATCATTTAGTGAACCTCACACCCTTGATTGGCTCCAGGTAGATGACCCCCCTGATCGCCACCTCGTTGAAGTCCACACCGTCGATCTTGTCCCGGTAATGGCTCACGTGGTCCACCTCCTCGCCGGACATCATGTTGACAATCTCCCCAACCTTGTTGGAGTCCCTGACATTGCCTTTGTCCATCTCGTCCCCCTCAAAACCCTCCATCAGGTCTTGGCAGAGGTGGGGGTGGGGGTCCAAAGACCTCATCGAAATTCCATCCGTCCTTCTCCAAGTTCCGCGGTAATCCCAAAAACAGAAGATCCGGTACTCGCGGCATCATTGGTGGAGTTCCCGGTGGCACCGCTGTCCCACCTGGGGTTGTCGTCCTTGTTGCTGGTGGCGTAGCCTCTGGTGTAATAGCTACCCACATTGGTGGCTCCTTCTCAGGTTGCCGTACTCCTTCAGTAGGCCCACGGGTTCCCTGCTGCTTCAGAGCCTCAATCTCCTTTTGCAGCTTTACCACTTGCTGCACCAGTTCTTCAACCAGTTTCTTTTCCAGTTTTGCTCCAACTCATCATGCTCATTGTCAGAACGTTGAACTTTTTCTGGAGGTAGCTCTTGTCCAGGTCCTTGAACTTGTTCAGAACCTCGTGCTCGACTACCGCGGCCTTGAAGTCCATCAAGGTGATCCGCCTTAGAACCTTGAACTTGTCCAAGATCCCGTTCTCTTCCATCGTGGGCTCGACGCCCATCGAGTTGTTCCACCTTAGAGCCTTGAACGTGTCCAAGACCCCGTACTTGTCCATCGCGGGCTTGAAGTCCATCGAGTTGTTCCGCCTTAGAGCCTTGAACTTGTCCAAGATCCCGTTCTTGTCCAGCATGTCCTTGAAATTCCTCCAAGTAGTCCCATGCTGGCACCCCTCTGTAGTGACTGCAGCCTGGAATCCCGTAGGACCCCATCGCCTGAACTCCTTGAAGTCCCTCTGGTCACAACACCCGTAGGCCATCCAATTGCATCACTCTGATACCCACCCTGTTTTTTTTTTAGTGGTTCATGTGGTTCCCAGCTTGACGGTGTACTTTCGCCTGCCGTCCTCAGCTCGTCCTCGTCCAAGTCAAGGTCCAACAGGTTCTCGCTTGGTGTCTCATCTAGTAGACCTCTCGGTCTCGCCTGGGTTAGGAGGTGTTCCTCTCGCACCTCTTCACTCCAGAGCGGCTTTGGTTCTTGCCCTCTGCCATGATCGTGTCCATGTCTTTGGCCTGGATCTTCTTCTTCACGGCGTTCTCCTTGAAGTCCATCCACAGCTCTTGACATAGTCCTTGTACTCCACGCCATGGCTTTCAGTTGAGCGAGCTCATAATCTGTAGTTTCACAGGATGAAACCAGGCGAAGCGGCGCAGCAACTGTTTTACTTTGGGCACAAAAAGAGCCTGCAGTGGCTCAGGACGTTATATGCGTGTACTCAGCCAGGTTGTTGTTAGGCTTATCTTCCACACCTTCAATTCACTGGTGTTCCTTCCCGAATAGGTTGTAATTGGGTTTCTTTAAAAGAACTATCACATTCTTTTCGGAGAATTGGTGCTCCTTTCAAACATAACGGACAACTGAAACAGTTTTCTTTTTGGTAAGTGAGGCATTTACTTCAAATGAATGGGATGTATTTTCCAAGGAAAGGACTTTCTAAGAAATGGTGGTACTTTTCACAGTGCCGCTGTTTTTTTTGAAAGGAGTGTGCCATTATTTTTTTCTAAGAAATAATGTTACCTTCAAACATAGATATGAGCTGAGCTTTGAAGGGGGTGTTTTTTAGGAGACATATATCATATTCTGCAGCAATATACACTTCATATTCTGCAACAATATTGTTTCTGTTTTTAAAAATAAATGGCTGCAACTTTAAATGACGTATTTATCTTTAAAAGGACAATGCACCTGTTTGAGAAAAATATTCATCATGAAAAAGGGAGACAGGAAGAATGTACTTAAAATACAATGCATGTTGTAGAGAAAACCAGTGTGTTTTCCAAAATAAATCCACCTGCAAAGGGAAATTTTCCCTAAAAGTTCTGCGCTAGCTCAAAGCAACCATTAGCTTATAAGTGAAAACGTATTTTTTGTTGTTGAAGGGATGCTGCATATTTGTGAAAAATTCGCATGTCTTTGAAAAATCTCATCTCTTCAGAGCATTACTTTCTGGAAATGTACTCGTAGCACAGGTTCAAGTCTTAATAGATGGGATAGATTACATATTCCTCTTTGGACAATTGCTGTGCTGTGCAACTCAAGCTACAAGCCTCGTTCATTTAACGTTAAATGTTCTTCTGTTCTTCCACAGTCAATTAGAATATAATTTCAACTGTGGCAGATTGCACCATGGCAGGGCATTTGTGTGATACCACTTGGCTACAAACAAGATATTAGCATCACCCTGTGTAATGGACTTTTGCTTGAATATACAAATGGCACTGCATCAAGGGTAACCCATCTACTGTACATATCTACAACCTGTTGAAAACACCATGGAGCTCCCTTGCTTTTTTAAACTGAAATAGGCCTAGTAGATGAATTGAGACTCGTTTCTGCAAGTTTTAATTAAAAGGTAGGTACCGTGGGCTATCATGAATATATATATATATGTATGTAATGTATGTAATGTATGTAATGTATGTAATGTATGTAATGTATGTAATGTATGTAAGTATGTATGTATGTTATGTATGTATGTATGTATGTATGTATGTATGTATGTATGTATTAATGTAATGTAATGTAATGTAATGCAATGTAATGCAATGTTATGTATGTATGTATGTATGTATGTATGTATGTATGTATGTATGTATGTATGTAATGTATGTAATGTATGTAATGTAGGAATGTATGTATGTATGTATGTATGTATGGTAATGTAATGTAATGTAATTTAATGTAATGTAATTTAATTTAATGTATGTAATGTAATGTAATGTAATGTAATGTAATGTAATGTATGTATATGTATGTATGTATGTATGTAACTAATGTATGTATGTGTGTATGTATGTACGTATGTATGTATGTATGTGTGTATGTGTGTATGTGTGTATGTGTTTGTGTGTATGTATGCATGTATTGTATTGTAATGTAATGTAATGTTATGTTTTTGTAATGTAACGTAATGTAATGTAATACTATGTTATGTATGTATGTATGTATGCATGCATGCATGCATGTATGTATGTATGTATGTAATGTATGTAATGTATGTAGTGCATGTAGCGTATGTAATGCATGTAATGTATGTAATGTATGTAATGTATGTAATGTATGTAATGTATGTACGTATGTATTGTATTGTAATGTAATGTAATGTAATGATATGTTATGTTTTTGTAATGTAACGTATTGTAATGTAATGTAATATTATGTTATGTTATGTTATGTTTTGTTACGGTATGTATGTATGTATGTATGTATGTATGGTTATGTATGGTTATGTATGGTTATGTATGGTTATGTATGGTTATGTATGGTTATGTATGGTTATGTATGGTTATGTATGGTTATGTATGCTTATGTATGGTTATGTATGGTTATGTATGGTTATGTATGGTTATGTATGGTTATGTATGGTTATGTATGGTTATGTATGGTTATGTATGGTTATGTATGGTTATGTATGTATATGAATAGATTTGTATGTATTTTAGTAAAATAAACAACTTTTTTGTATGTGCATATGAGAACACTATTATCTATCTATCTATATATATATATAAGCACAAGTTCTTAAAAACATATACACATGCATATACATATATGTGTGTATATATATATATACGAATGTGTTTCTCCTTTTACATATTATATTTAATCACATAGTGTCACTTGTGACGGTCGTAAACAGGCCTTTTTTATCATTCTCAAAACGTGCTCTTTCATCGCAGCCAGTGTCGCCCTGTGCTGGAGAGAGAAATCGGTCAAGCTAGCGCAATATCGCAGCTGGGCCACCATTTTAAGGCCTTCTAGATGGGGGACATTATCAAACATCACTGGATTTTGGCGTTTCTGATTTTGAGACGACCCCAAAGATGAAAAGGGTTGCAGCGTTTAACATTTATTATTGCAACAAATTTGTTTAGAAAATCTTAGCAACCCAAATCGTGCGTTTGAACTATTTTCTTGGTATGACAGAGTTGAAATTCTCTCCTCTACGGGGACGCTGCAGGCGGCGTTTTTGCACCGTGATCGTTTCGCGGCGATCTGACTTCCATGTCATGTCCACGGATTTTGATATATAGTAGTTCGCCAACAAGTTGGATTGGCGCCGAGGGCTAGTCAACCATTTGAGCCGGTTTGGCAACAGTCTCATCCCCAAACTCAGGTGGCTGGTGGTTCCTCCGTGTTAGAAGCATACAGTGCCTGTGTTCCTTTTGCTGTGTGCGACCTTACTGTCTGAAAACATCTTCAGCTGTTCAGAAGAGTGTTTTTTCTTGGAATGCATATCAATCGTGACGACAAACCCAAGAAACCATTCTTGACAGGACGGAACAAAGGAACGGCTCTATCATACGGGATTGTGACAGCAGCATCGAAAGGAAAAAGGGCACCGTGAGGGGGCTTTCTAGCGGAATGAATAATCGGAAGATCTTCTCCACTTTGCGTGCATTTTTTTGGGACAGGTGAGCAGTGTTCAAAACCCCTGTTGCTTGATGATTCATGATCATAGAGGTTGTGCTACCCAATGTTAAGTGGGGACTATAATTATCCATGAACTGGGAAATCCGTTCTGAACCGAACAGTAGAAAATGTAGACGGAGGACAGAGGCTTTTGAACACTGATAAAGCGTCACACCAGCCCCTGCGCAGAGGAGAAAAGACTGCGGCTTGTCGCTTTGGGTCTTTGGTATCCCAGCGATTTTTGGGTAAGCCCCTTACTCATAGGATGGTTGCGGAATATCCCTTCGGGTGTTTTGGTTGGAATATCCCTCCCCGATTTACCAATCCCTTTTTGCGATCATGGGCATGGGCCAAGATTCAACACCCCGTCCAATTTTGTTTCCAATTACTGTTATAGAACATTATAGAACCGAAACTATCTACACGTTGGAAATCATTTGGCAAAATGTTTACGGTCAAATTTAAGGAACCTATTGAACTAGCAGCTGCATATTTTTGTTTCTTTTTTTGCCTGCTTGAAATCCGGTAGCCCCATTTGAGCTCCTTTTCTATGAAGATCTGTCGAAATGTGACTTGTTGTTTTTGCCATAGACTACCACAAAATCCATAAATTGCGAGTTGTTCAGTTTAAGGTCGAATTGTATGATCTCTGTTCAACTACTATATATATATATATATTATAATAGCAATAATAATGTATACGTATATACATATATAAATAAACAATATATATATATATGGGTATAACGTGTTTCACCGCCCCCACCCAGTGTTTTCAAGTATTCTATATGTGCACGTTTCAGAGATGTTGTGCACGTTTCAGAGATGTTGTGCACGTTTCCCAGCAGTTGTGCACGTTTCACAGAAGTTGTGCACGTTTCACAAGCCCCCTAATAACGTTTGTGTTTAGATGTATACACACTAAGCGCATTCGAATCAGCAAAAGCATTGGGGCGACCAAACACGTTCTCCCTATATATATCATCAATTAAATGAACAAGTAATTAAGTAAGTAAATCAATTTACAATATATATATATATATACATACATTAATATATATATATACAAGTCATATGTATATATATACATAATATATATATGTACATAAATAATATAGATAGACAGACAGACAGACAGACAGATAGATAGATAGATAGATAGACTGATTGATAGATAGACAGACAGATAAATAGATAGGATTAGATAGATACATTTAGATGGATAGGATTAGATAGATAGGATTAGATAGATAGAATTAGAAAGATAGGATTAGATAGATAGGATTAGATAGATAGAATTAGATAGATAGGATTAGATAGATAGGATTAATTAGATAGATAGCTAGATAGATAGATGGATAGATAGATAGATACATAGATATATATATATATATTTGAATAATATACGTATATATATATGGCCCAGCGTTTGGTGGTCCCCCCTCCCCCCTGAGATGGTCCCTATATGTATATCTAAGTTATATACATATATATATATACATATATTTATAGAAGTAGTGTATAATATGTGTATATATATATATGCGTGTATACAGTATGTATGTATGTAATGTAATGTAATGTAATGTAATGTAATGTAATGTACTGTACTGTTGTGTTGTGTTGTGTTGTGTTATGTTATGTTATGTTATGTTATGTTATGTATGTATGTATAT